CTGGTTAGTAGGAGTGAATATCGACATGTTTGACGGTCCTCGGGTTCTCGACGCGCTTCTTCCCCCCGGCTCTCATTCACCGCGACTCACCGCCGCAGCGCCCCCTGGAGGCCTGGAGTCGCACAGCACGCTTCTGCTGTCTGCACACATCTCATAGACGTTCCAGATCATAAACATCTTAAAGGTCCAGTGTGTCATATTTAGGAGGACCTATTGACAGAAATGCAATATAATATACATAACTATGTTTTCAGAGGTGTATAAGAAGACCTTACATAATTAACCGTTATGCATGTATTATCTTAGAGAATGAGCCATTTCTATCTACATACACCGCGGAAGTCGTCATTTTGCACTGCCATGTTTCTACAGTAGCCCTACACGGACAGACTGCTCTACAGAAACTTCATTCCCAGATAGCAAAATGACTCCGGAACGGATAAGGATTACGGATCCGATCTGGACCCGTTCATTACCTTATTTAAAATGGGTAATCTGGCCAAAACTAGCTATGGAAATACCTAAAACAGAGCCAACAATCAGTATATAGACTAGACTGCTCTATAAAAGTGTAATATGTCTCCCTTTATTAATATTAATACACCATAAAATCATCCAAAACTTGAAAAAATCAGCTTTCCTTGGCCAGTAATAATGAAAGACTCTATAAAACGTAGGTAATTACATGAAGAAAAATAAAAAATAAAATGCAACAACAAATTGTACAAAAACATTGTTTTATGTAATAAAAAACTTTACCTCTAAAAAGACAATTCAGTTCAATAGCTTTGTAAAGTTAATATTTACGAATGAATTAGTACAATTCAGCCATAAGGAATTTTATAGCACACAAAAGTTTCATTATTCACTTTGTGTCAGCTTGATGTTGATTTAATCAAATTCAATATCAGTGAAAATGCTGCAAAATGAATGCATTAAGAAACAAAGTCTTGGCGATAAAGCAGCTCTGGAGAAAACAGCGATATCATGATCCAGCTCAGTTCAGTTCAAGTCTTGTCATTATGCAATAGTGTCAGTACAATCAAATCACTATTATTCTTGAATATTCAGTGTCTTTTAAACCCCAGCTACGCAAGCCAGAGGTGACAGTGGAACCCAAACTTCAGCAGGTGACTGAAACTAAGGAAAAACAGCTTGGGAGAAACCAGGAGCAGTCGGCTCAGCTCTCCTCTGGATAAATGATCAAAGATGGGGTGATTATGATCTCAGGCTGCATCACTTGAGATTGTGGACTGATGGCATTCAGAATACTTCATCCAGCTCCTGCTGTTTGAAGATCAGGATACGTCACGCTGTCATCTGATCAGAGGAGAAGCTGTAGTCTGTCCAGCAGGGCTGTCGTTTAGCCAGTAGTGGACGACTGGATTAACAGTGACTATAAGCAGGATAAAACTGCATTGTGGTCCTAGCAGCTCCTGGCCTGACACGTTCATTGCTGGCCATAGGGGTCTGT